GAATTTTAAAAGTGTGTCACTCTGATTCTCTGGGTTTATCAGTGTCTGTTGTGACATCCTCCTTCGTATCTAATTTTATTAATTCTGACATTTTCTCTGAGTCTTTTAGTTAATTTGGCTAAGGGTTTGTCAATCTTGTTAATTTTCTCCAAGAACCAACTGTGTTTCATTGATTATTGGTTTTTGCTGTTGTTTATTTGTTTCTATTTCATTGACTTCAGCTCTGAGTTTGAATATTTTCTACTATCTACTATTTTTGGGTGTTGTATCTTCTTGTTCTAGAGTTTTCAGATGTGCTGTTCAGTTACTAATATGAATTTCTCTAACTTTTTAATGTAGACACTTAGTGCTATGAACTTGCCTTTTAGAACTGCCTGCATTGTGACCCATAAATTTGGGTATGTTGTGTTTTTATTTGTACTCAATTCAAACAAATATCTTAATTTCCTTCTTGATTTCTGTCTTGACCCAATTGTGAGCAGACTGTGGAATTCCCACCTCTTGCTCCTACAGTTCTTTTGAGAGATAGTTTTCTCCTCATGAAACATGATGCGAACCCTCATCTCACCCACAGGCATGGCTGTCCTACTTCTGCAGAAAATCAATGCACCACCATTGCAGCTCTTACACCTGTCCTGTCTGAGAACAGCATATACCAGAAGCTCGATGGCATGACCAAAATTTTTGTGACTACACCTTCATAAAACCAAACTGGCTACATTCATTCAGGACCACACTGTTTATGTCCAGACAGTTCTGGGCTTCTTTTCTCACTAAACTGGTCCATTGTCCCACTGATTACTCTGGGCATGATCTTCCCCAGCAAAAGAAACTCTGTGGTCACACACATCCCGATGTCTGTGATCACACGCTTTCTGTGACACATATTTCCCTGAGTTTGCTCCCTGGTCCACATGGAGCAGATTGCACATGTATGTTAGCTCCACGATTTGATCCAAATGGACCCTCATGAGGTTTTTAAAAAGAATGTATTTAATTTCTAGCTTATGTGCATTAGTGTGAAGGTGTCAGATACCTTGGAATTGGCATTACATACAGTTGTGAACTGCCATGTGCGTGCTGGGAATTGAACACGGGTCCTTTGGAAGAGCAGACAGCTCTCAACCACTGAGCCATCTCTCCAGCCCTGCTCATGAAGTTTTGATGAATACTGGGTTTACCCAGTGTTTTATTGTATTGCTGATCCTTGTAGTGTCACTGTGGAGAGTAGAACCTCCTGATGTGCCTTTAATATGGACTCTTCTCTTGGTGCCTATAGGTCCTTCTAGTGTTCTGGTGAAAAAAGAGGTATCTTGAGTTTTGATGAATGATCCAGCCTATTTTATCTCTGCATACCAGATTGCCCTTGGGGCAATTCAGCCATCCATCCATGTAAACATACTGTTGTTTGACTTTTCCTGAGCAATAATTTGTTCACCAGAATAGGGAACAAAACCAACAGATCAAAGATATGATTCTGCCAGAGTCAGGTAAGTGAAGCAGTGAATTTATGGGGGTCACTCAGAAAAGTATTTGTGAAGAGTTTCTTTCAGGAGCATGTTCAGTTCAAAGGCAGTTGAATCAGCAAGAACCTCATTCAAGCATGGTGTCAACCCATAAAAACTGTCGCTGGAGCTGCCTGAACAACCAGCAGGTATCATAACAGGCGGGAGGGTCCCTTCTTCCTGGCATTGTTAGTGCTTAGCAACCTTGCAAAGGAGCTAGTTACCAGCAGAGGGCAGCTTAGCTGAAAGCCTCAGAATCCAGAGGGGTTTCCCAGGCAGTAGAGTCAGGTGTAATCTTCTTGGTTATGGGCTTCAGGCTTCAATTTCCACCATCCTTCTCTGTCCACATTCTGACTAGTCCTTTTCCTCTCTGGAAGACCCATAATCTCCCCAAGCTCTTTGCATAGGTAATCTAGATAAGGATCTAACTCCTACCAATAACGTTGGAAAACATGTAAAATGTCTTTCATTTGTTTTATTTATGGGAAATCCTGTATACACTTCATGCTGGCCTCATGAGAAAGAACTTTTATGTCCTAAGCATTGGTCTTAGCAAGTTAGGGCATGGCGATGATTGAGGTGAAAAAGGCTGAGGAGAGGGGTGGCCATGGGTGTGGCCACCCTCGGTGACCAGGGCCCTTTTAGGAAATTCAGGAAAATTGGATCCCCCTCTCATCAAGCAGGCCTCTGAAACACATTCTCATGATGGCTGACACTGAGGAACTTTGATACTGGCATCAGAGTCTACTCTGGAGGGTTCCTGTGGCCTTACATTTTTGTGCCACCATTTTGTCATTTAAACAATTAATTAATTCATTAATTTATTTATTCACTTTACATCCTGGTCTTAGCCCCATCCCTCCTCACCTTCTAGTCCCACCCTTCTTCCCTGTCCCCTATTCCTCAGCAAAGGGGAGCCCCCCCGCCATCCCCACCCCACCATCCATCTCAGCTCATCAAGTCATATCAGAGCTGAGGCCTAGCAAGGCAGTTCCTCCAGGGGCAAGTAACTGAAAAACTGTCAAGAAAGCCCATGTCAGAGAGGGCCCCTGCTCCCCTTATTTTGTCATTCCTAATAATTTTTCATTAAGGAACATGAGATTTTTAATTTGACTCTGGATATTAAAATTATGTTGTGGGTTCTCATATGTCTTTTGATCAGGTAATTTTATCAGCATAACTGATGTTCGTTATGAACTTTTAAAGGCTATAAGTACAGAAAATTCAACCTCCTAGAAATAGTTGTTTGGAACCATGTGCTGTAGGTTCATCGAGAAATCAACTTTCTTTTCTTTTCTTTCTTTCTTTCTTTCTTTCTTTCTTTCTTTCTTTCTTTCTTCCTTCCTTCCTTCCTTCCTTCCTTCCTTCCTTCCTTCCTTCCTCCCTTTCCTTTTTTATTTTTGCAGACATAAAGATACCAAACTAATAGGCAAAATTCATCTCAGTATAAGTATATGTCCTCCTTTACAAACAATAGTTTATAGTAGCTCATCAGCAAGTATACAGATGAAAAATGATCTTAATGGTGCTGTGTTCCTTTGTCTACACATTCGTTAGTGTATCTTCCAATCTTACATGGACTTGGCTTGTGTGGTCGTTTCTCATGTAGGCATGTTATCACAGGGAGGCATGCATTCCTCTGGCATCTGAGATCAAGAAAGATATATTTTTCAGTACTGTGATCAAATTGCCAAGCCTGTCTACTGACAATAAACTGATCTTGGAAGGACTCAGCTCTTCATTCAGATCTTCTGTTTAAGGCAGAGAAAGGCCCTTGATGTCCTTTCTGACACTGACCTTAACAACTATAGCCATTTGGACCTTGCTTGGAAGAGACTCCTTGTCCTTCTGGGACTGCAACGGACTCCAGCTGCGGGAAGTCCTGCAGTGCTGGCACTGCCTGGGCTCTGGCACGGTGGGTAAGTGCTTGCTCTGGGTGACAGATGACGGCTCTGATATGGGGGAGGATCTCACATTGCTTAAAGGCTCTGGCCTCAGAATGGTGTCACCTGAGTTAGAATCTACCTTCTGCCTGAAGGCAGAGATGGGTACCGTCAGCCTGGGGAGACCCAGCATGGAACTGTCCTCTCTTGGGCTATGGATTTTGTTGCTAGCCTGTTGGAGCCTTCTTCCTGGTGAGTGTGTGCTTGCCCTGGGTGTCAGGGACACAGGAGTATGGAACGTAGATGACCGCATTCAGGAATGGCACAGGCGTGTGATGCCTGATGCTCTGTTTTTGTTGTTGTTTTGGTGCGTGTTTGTTTCTACTAACTTTCATTTTATCAAAGTGACTGTTTGATGCTATCGCAGTGCAGTGTTAATGGCAGGGAGATCTGTGGAGAAGGAAGAGTTGCGATGAAGAGTAAAAATGAGCTTTCCAATTTCAGAGAGTTCGCAACAAGATCCTCAGTATTTTCTCCCTGTGCTATCTTCTTGCCCACGAAGGTGCATCTCCACAGGACTCTGTGAGTCTCCTTGGGAGTACACATTATTGCAGTGGCAATTTGCATGTGCAGTATGGTGGACTTCGAGGCCTGGTGTGTGGGGAGGGGTCTGAAGGAGGCTTCAGTGGTCTGCAAACAGCTTGGCTGTGGCCATGCACATTATACCTACCAGCACATTTTGAGACCAGAAGAGATGGAGGTACCTTGGCTTTATGATGTCCAGTGCCACGGCGAGGAAGCCACGATTTGGGAGTGCTCCTCAGGGTTCTGGGGGACCATTAATGGCTGTGAATGCCAGTGTATAGTGTCAATTTCCTGTTCAGGTGAGTCAGCTTGGGTTCCCCAGGTCCTCCTTCCCTGGGAAGGAACCAAACCAAAGGAATTGAGACAAATCTCCAAGGGGAGGAGGGGGGCTCTGGATGGGTGTGAGTACCTTTGCTACAGATTCCTCTGATGAGAGACTCAGTGAGGGCTCTCCCTCTGTGTCCTTAGGGAGCTCAGCTCTCATTCTTCCTGGACCCCTTCTCAGTAACTTTTTCTGAGGTCTACTGCTTTCCAAGGGCAGCCACCAAACTCTCTCTATTTTCTCTTCTCTTCTCTTCTCTTCTCTTCTCTTCTCTTCTCTTCTCTTCTCTTCTCTTCTCTTCTCTTCTCTTCTTTTCTTTCTCCCTCCCTCCCTCCCCTCTTTCTTTCTTTCTTTTTTTTTTGGCCTGCCTTAGAGTCGGGGAGTACCTCAGGGCCCATCCATACCCTCTTGGTGTTCAGGTTACAACTCCAACTAGGGAGAGTTACTTGGTGCTTGAGGCAGGTATTCTGACTAGGTTCCCTTGGCACCCACTCTATCTACTGTGTGTGCTCAAATCTTGACGCTGTAATCCTAGAAGGATGGTGGTGTTGCCCCTGTCATGCCAGGGAACAGCAAAGAGTGGTGACAGGACCCAGAGCCCTTTGTGTGCTACCTCAGGTTGAGGAAGTGAGTCTGTATATCTTGGTCACTTACCATGTGAACAGGTTTCCAGGATCAGTTTTTTTTTTTCTTCTGTGCTACTAGGGGGTGTAGCACCAGAAGTCAGGCTGGGCAGTGGTGGCAGTCTCTGTGCTGGGACTCCCGAGTTGCTGAGTAAAAACGTCCTGCTCCAGACGTGTGACTTGATGAAGGAAGAAGCTGGTGTCCTGTGCAGGCAGCTGGAGTGTGGCACCGCTCTGCAGTGGTCCAGAGCCTACCACGAAGTGGACATTGGGAATCAGGAAAAGAAATTTATTGCATGCCGGGGAGTGGAGGCTGACATTTTTCACTGCAAGATTAATACGAACTTCCTAGAGCAGTGTGACCCTCTAGCCTACACCCAGGTCGTATGCACAGGTAGGAACACCCTCTGTTGATAACTGTTTATATCTAGGTGTTGGATGCCTGCATATAAAGAACAGATTCACCATCTACCCCACAGCAAGAGTCAATGGAATCCTCTCCTGTCGATCATGGATGACATTAGTCCATGTTACCATTGAGAAATGGCTTTGGGAGGCCCTGGCGTACCCCAGTGGGCATTGCTGTAGCTTGGTCTGCTGTGTTCGTGGCTCCAGTTGTGGCCTGAGTAAAGGGGATTGAAGTCAGTATCTATTATTCTCACAATAGACACAGGCATCCTCATAACCCCAGAAACCAAGTGACCAGAAGGAATTTGTGTTTAGAATCTGTGTGGAGTCAAAGGCTCAAGAGAGGACAGAACAGGGGATCTGGTCTTTGGTCTGTGGACCCAGCACTTAACCTATTGTCCTCTGTGTCAGGAGCAATGAAAGTGGTCCTGTATCCTTTCACACCATCCCTTCTGGGGACTGGATGACAGCCATCAGGTCATGTCATCCAGTGTCTACACAGAGCCTCCCCTGACCTTAGTTGCGTCTGTCCATTTATCCCATGGACACATGGAGGTCTGGCTGGTAGGTGGTGAGCAACCCTGTGAGGGTTTCCTGGAGGCTCTGTGAGGTTGCCCTGGGGCACCATCTGCAGGCTGACCTGGCCTTGCTCACTTGCTCACAGCTTACACGGTTTGCCAGGAGCTGGTGTATGGTGCGGCTGCATCCACATCTGGGGGTTCCCACTTTGGCTAGGGCTCCATGCCTGTGTAGAAGTGGGCCTTCCACTGTGTGGCAATGAATCATTGATGCTCCATTGTTCATTAGATCCTGGACATTGCTGTGGCCATGACCAAGATGTGTCACTAACTTTTCCAGGGGAAAGTGAGTCAGCTTATGGACTGGCAGGGTGTGATGTGATGTGGTCAAGGTCTGGGGTCTGGGGTCTGTGCTGTGATCACCACGGAAAGCTAAATGGGTGACTCAGCCTGTGTTCTCTCTCTTATTTTCCTCTCTAGTCTTTTATGTATTGTTTTACTTTGGTCTTTCAGATATCTGTCTGCTCAGCTTTCATCAACTTCAGAAATAAGTTGCCTGTCTTTTGGGGGTAGTACCGATTGCTTTTCATGCTCTGTATGGCGATCCTTTGTCAACACGTGCTGTACAGCCCCAGTTGTTTCCATTTGTAAAATGACAGTTTCAGATTGCTTGATTCTAGTGTTTGCTCTCTGCCTCGTGCTTTGCGTTGGTGTCACTTCTAAAGCCTGGCAAAGCCCTGCAGCATCACCTCCTGCTTTCTGTTAAGGCTGTTGTCCTTCAGCGTGTGCCTAGGGCTAGGCTGGGAGTTGAGCTCACATTTGCTCCTGTCATCTAGAGGACCAGCTCCACACTTCCCGTGTGCGCCTTCCTTAGGACATTGCTCTTCCCAAACAAATAGTCATGGCCACTTTCAGAAACTTCATGATTGTGTGTGAGACAATTATTGCACTTCAGTCATGGTCCACTGATTTCTGTATCTAGCTTCCATCTGTACCATACTTCTCAGTTTACTGTAGCTTTACAGTAAGTTTGGAAATAAGGGAGTGTATGTCTGGCTCTTTATATGGCTTGGGTCCATATAAATGCACATGAATATTATATATTTTATATACATATAAAATGCACATGAATATTATAATTAACTTTGTAGATTTCTTAAAGTGCTGTTTGGATCTATCATTGTTTTAAAATTGTGTGTTAGGAATTATTAATGTAGGTGCACAGGGGCCACAGCATGCGTGGGGAAGTCAGAGGACAACTTTTTTTTTCTTTTTATTAATTACACTTTATTCACTTTGTATCCCCCCCATAAGCCCCTCTCTCCTCCCCTCCCTATCCCACTCCCTTCTTCACGCATGCCCCTCCCCAAGTCCACTGATAGGGGAGGTCCTAGAGGACAACTTTTCAATAGTTGGTTCTCTCCTTCCACTTTGTTTTGAGGCAACGTCTCTCTTACTGTGTCTACACTTGTGCTGTGTACTCCATGATAGCTCCTATAGAAGTACCTGCACATCCATGTTCATTGCTGCTCTATTCACAAAAAATAGCCAGGAAATATGAACTGTATAGATGTCCTTCTGTGGATGAATGGATAATGAAAGTGTGTTCCCATACCGTGAAAGATTATTCAGTTGCAAAGAAAAATGAACTTTACAGATAAATGGATGGAATCAGAAGCAATAATTGTAAAAGTGTTGACTCAGGGTTGAAGAAGACATACACTGCATGTTCTCTCTCATGTATGGATACCAGTTCTGAGTCTCTACATATGTTTCCATTGGAATATTTACAGAAAACAGGAAACCAGTGAGGGGTCCTGGGGTGAGGTTTCAGATAAAAGGATATAGAATGCAGGTGGCAATCAAGAGAAAGGAGAATAATGGAACAGGAAGTGTAAACACACTGATCGATGGGAGGGCATGGTAAGAGAGGGATGTGTATATTATAAGATATATATCATTAATAAGAAAATAGTAGTCCATATTTATTTAACCCCATATATATGTATGTAACACACACATATATGTATATATACATGTGCGTTTATATACATTTAACTCCACATATGTACATATATATACAGATACCTATATGTACATGTACATATATATGTGCGTGTATATATACTTACATATATATGGAGTTAAATCGGAGTTATCTTACCACAGGGGGATAATGCCTCATCCAGACATCATACAAAAAGCTTTTTGTCTATCAAACAAAAAGCCTTGACCAGGTCCAGGTATGGAATATCTGTTTTCCAGTTATTGATCTCTGGAGTCATATAGGCCCACCCAAACATTACACTCTATCATTATTGCTTTTGGTTACCCTCCAGAACTTGAGGATAAGACATCACTGCTGAAGGCACAACACACTTGGGTCATAGACCATAGGAAAGTCAAGCTGGTATCAACCAGGACACTTCATTTCTCCTGTCTAGCTTTTATAGACCTTAAACGTTTTTGCTTTTAACTTTTAAAAATGCTGGTTCCCCCACAATGATCACAAAGTACAGTATTCCTTCAGCGTATTCTTGTTTTGCTCTTTATCATTTCTTTCCTTGTACTAATCGTGGATATGGTTTATTCTTGTCTTGCTAGATCACTGCGTTGCATCCTCAGGTTGTTTGGGGTTTCTCGCTGTAAGCTTTCTTGTTAGGCTGGTTTCATAGCATCCACTGATGTTGCTGTTTCCTTTCCTGTTTTAAAGATGTGTTTGCTTTACTGTAGGAGTGTTTTGCCTGTATGAATGTACGTGCACCCCATGCATGCCTGGTACCCATGAGGTCGGAAGAGTGTGCTGAGTGGATCTGTGTGAACTGCAATGTAGTTGCTGGGAACAGAACCTGTGTCCTCTCCAAGAGCAACAAGTGACCTTTACTGCTCAGAATTTTTTTCTGACTCAGTATTTACTTTCTGTTTTGTTTGTTTATGTTCCGAAGAGGGGTTAAAACCCCGGATCTTATGCCAAAAACACACCCTAACCCTGAGCTATAGACTAGTCCACCACAGGTTGTTTATACAAAAATTTCATATATTTTTAGGGTTTGTAAAGTTTGTCATGCTGTTGATTCCTAGCTTTATTCCATTTTGTCCACTGAAGAGATTAGTAAGGATTTTCACCATTAGAATTTGAGGTCTCATGCCTGTGGCCTTTCCTGTATTCTACCGTGGACTATATCCTGTGAATGACAAGGAGAAATGTTTTGTGACACCATCGAGTAAATTTGCCTATAAATTCATGACAGGACCATTGATCTATTTTTTTTTTTTTTTTTGTATTTATCTGTAGACTTTCTGAGATGTCTGGATAATCTGTTTTCTGATAAAAGTAGAATACTACATCCACATCATGATTGTATTGAGCTCAATTTCTGCCATTAGAATTTGTAATGGCCCTTTTATAGAGTTACATCCTCTAGTATTGGATGTATACAACGTTGCAATTATTATTAATAATATAATTATTATTATAACTTATTTATTGTTGGATATTTTATTCATTTTTGTTTCATTTTCATGCTTTTGGCCTAAAGCCTACTTCATCCAACATAATTTCAGTGATGACTGCTCACTTTTGTTAGGTTTCCTTAAAATAATTCCCCTGAATTCTTTGTTGGGATGTTTACAGGTTTCCTCACAGTAAGGTAGTTATGTTCCCCTGGTAGTGTCAGGTTAACCTTTTGTGCTGTTGCCATGATATTTCTGCATCTGGTGGGTTATTCATCTCTCCCCTCCTTATTGGCTGTTTTCCCAGTAAGATGTCCTAGCAGTTTTCTGTTTCAGTTGGCTGGGGCGTACCGGCTGAAGGTGGGGTACTTTAACTCAGTGTTCATGGACAATGTTGAATCTCCAGACTTTTTGAAGCTCCTTGAGGACATGGAAATTTCTATGAGGTACCTGGTTTGGGCATAACACATCCAGTAGTGGAGGAAGTCGCTGTCAATGTCTGAGGATCCACGTTTTAAGGCTTCACTGGTTGGTTCTAAATGAATACATGGTAGAGTCTGAGGCCTGCACTTGCTTATTGCTACAGTTTGAGTGTGGACTGCCCCCAAAGGCTCATGAATTTGAATACTTAGTACCTGGCTTGTGACACTGTTATAGATTATGTAGGTGACGGAGCCTGGCTGGATAAAATGGATTACTAGGGGAAGGTGGCTCTTGAGGTCTTATAGCTCAGGCCTACCCCAGTCTCTTCTCTGCTCCCTTCCTTCTACATTAGGATGCAAGAAGATTACCTGTACCACATTCTCACTGCCATTCCTTCCCCTCTATGGCAGACTGTATCTCTGTGAACTTCTGCTCAAACAAATCCTTTTCCCCTTTACCTTCATATCAGATACATGGTCACAGCCAGAAGGAAAATGATGAATAGTCATTGCCTAAATGGTTCCTAGTGATGAAGGTTGGATGGCTGTGTATGAATGTTTGCTTCTCAGGCTCTGTGTGAAAGGATTTTGAA